TGAGTTGCAGGTGTTGATTTCAAATTCTTTATATTCTTCTTATAAGTTACATTCGTAGGTTTATTTATCTGTTAAATGTAATTTAAATATCAACATAATTTTCTGTAATTGTTCTTAATAATATTTTTTATTTTATTTTTACTCTATATTACTACGTTTAACTCTCACCACTCCATGAACCGACTGTTGGCATTAAGTCCGTCCTTTGCATTCTTTTGTAATAGGGAATGCAATAAATAATAAATAAATAAATAATTATTTGACAGCTCCACGGTGCAGTGACTAAGAATTGAGTTGCAGCGTTTAGGGCCGCGGGATCGAATCCCGCACAGAATGAGTATTTAATGGCTTACAAATAATTGTTCCGGGTCTGGATGTTTATCTTTGTGAAATTTATGTACGTAAACTGCCCCAACGATACAGGAAAAAATCTTAGTATGGAGTTAACATTTTTTTAAATACGATAGACAAGTAGTTTTTTTTCTAGGATAAGCGTGACAAACGAGCACACAGTCAGTAGTTGCTGTGCCTCAAAGACATCTACATCTATCCTCAACTACGAATCAAAATGCAGATGCCACCCGTGAGGGCTAAGATAGAATGTCTCGATTCCAGTAAAAGGGGTTTCCGGTTCTCTAGACTCACCATACGAAACACAGCAACGTTAAGCTGCTATTTTACGCTGGTATTTGTGAGAGCGTGGTCCTTCCCCGGTCAAGGCGACTCATTCGTGCTACAACTATACTACTGATAGAGCTGCAACATGACTCTACCGCGTATAAAGTAGTTTTTTTAGCCTCCTATCCTTTTCTTCTCTCTCACTTTATCTTTCTCTTTCTCTATCAGCTCGTAAAAGTTCGCTGCTGAACATGAGGCTCTCTTTTGTAGATAGGGTTGTCTCAATCTCCACTAGGCAGGTAGATTGTCGGTCTGCTCGTCGCCTGCATTACCCGTCAAACGAATTACAGTTGTTTTTGTAATTAGTACATAGTAATTGTTAACTTAATATATTTTTTATATTTCCTGGCTGGACAGTCTATGTGCCTTGGAGTGTAGAGACCCAGAGACCCTTTTTACTGGAAACGAGGCATTACATCTTAGTCCTCACGGGTGACAACGCATCTGCATTTTGATTCGTAATCGAGAATAGATGTAGATGTCTATGGGCTGCAACAACCACTTACCATCAGGTGGACTGTGTGCTCGTTTGTCACCCTTATATATCAGAGGCGATAAAGGGAAATGAAACAAGAGATGGACAGCTGCAGCATCTTCCAGAAATAGCTCAAAATAATAAAAATTGCCAACGGGTGCCAACCCGTCCGCCAAGCGTGACAACTATGGCTGTGATGAAATGAAATGAAATGAACGGAGAATATGAGAATATCGAATATATTTTTTTTAACTAAGAATTTATAATTGCACGAAAATTTTAACCCAAACTCAAAATAGTGATCGTTATAGTTTTAAATAATACTTTTATTAACCGAGTTCAAAAACAACATTAAGGTTTTTTTTTGTTAATAAGGGTGACAAACGAGTACACAGTCCACCTGGTGGTAAGTGGATACTGTGGCCCATAGAAATTTATATTTATCCTCGATTAAGAATCTATACATATAATAAAACTGTAAATAGCAGATGTCTGTACATTTTATATTTTTGTAATAAAAGTGATTGAGGGGTACTAAAAATAAGTAATTAAATACATTTCTACCATTTTTAGAATTTTCTGTCTGTCTGTCTGTCTGTCTGTCTGTCTGTTTGTTTGTTAACGTATCACGTTTAAAGTACTAATTTATATCATAAGAATTGTTAAGGAAATTATAAAGTGTATCTTCGGGTTACATTTAGTCTTTATTTCATTAAAATCGGTTCATTCCATCAAAAGTTATGATAAATATTCTGAAGTATGGGTAGGGAATTTGCTCAACGGTGGCTTTGTTTGAGTCATCAAGTTGATGTTAGCAGCGCCATCTCTCTTCAATTAAATATATACATATAATAAAAATGATGATAACATGTTGTGTCTCTTTCTGTACATTGTATATTTATTTTGGTGACTAAAATCATTATGGGGAACTAAAAATAATTAAATAAGTACATTTTTATAATTTTTAGAATTGTCTGTCTGTCTGTTTGTCTGTTTTTATATGAATGCATCACGTCTAAAGTAAACATCTTTTTTTTTCAAAGATATCGTTAAGAAAATCATAAAGCGTATCTTCAAGTTACATTTAATCTTTGTTTTATTAAAATTGGTTAATTCTATCGAAAGTAATGATTATTATTTTAAAATGTAGGTTCGAATTTGTTCAATGGCGCCATAAAAATCACAAAAATAGTAATAAAAAGATTTGTGTGTAAAAAAAAACGTTCCATAATAATTAATATATTTATACTTAAAACATAAAAAGAGATTTAAAAAAGGATGTTTTCTCACACAAAGGACGTAATAGATGGAGTTATACAAATTACAAACTTTTCTGATTTGCTGTGTTGAGATTTTTCGCCGATGAATCGTATTGAGACTTACTGAAGAAATTAGTATCTATCGAAGCCATACAACGGAACCCGAACATAAATAACAAAATTGCAACGAAATGTCGTGATATTGTATTTATAATATACGCAAAATCAGTACTGCCATTTTAGCGCTTTGGGAACTAGATTTAGCGCTTTTTTGGAATGTATAGCGCGCATTTCGAAATTTTAGCACCTAGCACTTAATCCAGCGCTTTTTGGTGTATTTAGCACAAATTTCAAAATTGTAGCGACTAGCGGGTTATTAACTCTTTTATAGCAGCACTGTTAGTCCACATTACCGATAATAATAATAATGACCTTTATTATTTTTTTCCACAAATAGTACATTGCAGTTTATCTTTTTCAAACATATTTTTTCCACAAAACAAAGAGCATGGGAGACGAGTCCAAACTAGGATACCCTGTGCTATGGATCTCCCGGCTTCCCCTTTAGGATGATCAACTTGATTTTTTTTTATCGACGACTATAAGCGGGGAAATCCCCTTCATTAAAGTTTTCGTTCATGGTTTTGGCAACGCATTTATTTTGCTTTATTTAGTTTTAGTCAGTTGTTTAGAGCACAGCTAAGTTAAAATTTACTTAGAGTAGTACTAACTACTGTTGACAGCAATTGCCATAATTATAAGTCGATGTCCTGCGAAGTATTGATACATCAAAAAATATTGCCAGAAAAAAACTTAATATTGTTTTCTTTATTATGATTATATTTTCTTGAATTACAAATTATAATAAAAAACACAAACTTTGTTTGTAGTTAATTTAGCGCAAAATCTAGGGCTTTTTTAAAGCGCTGTTTTCATGAAATCTAGCGCTTTTTGTGTTGTCCTAGCGCTGAATGAGTTTTTTTGATCTGGCAGCACTGCCAAAAAACCCTCTATTAAGAAGTAACTTTCCCTTCAGTTTTAAGCGTGTTCAGTTCCCAGTTACAGTCATCGTGTGTTATGCGATGACCGTAAATAAAGTGCAAGGTCAAAATTTACGCGTTGTAAGAGTGGACCTCAGTACTGACTGTTTTGCACATGGCCAACTCTATGTTGCTTTTTCCCGCGTTAGTAGCCCCCGTAACCTTTTTGTGTACACCCCGGCTAAGCCTACTTCTAACGTCGTTTACACCGAAGCTCTATCATAAACTACTTAGAACTTTGATAATAATGATTTATTTGTTACCACTTATTGATACAGTAATGATATAAATCGTTTAATATTCTCTTACCTAAACGACAAATTCTTTATGTAAAATCTATATACGCGAGCTACGCCGCGGGCACAGCTAGTCAAAATAATATAATAATATATAATACTAGCTGTTCCTTGCGACTTCGCCCGCGTGTAATTTAGGGTTTTAATTATATTGCTCAGAACCCTAATTCTTTTTCTCAAATATAAGTAGCAAATCAATAACTTATTTTTTAAGCAATTTGAAATCGGTTTTTACTTTTTGAAGTTATAATTACTAAGCGACATTATACTTGTTACTTGTTACCTTATAATTCTTAGAAAACACAAAACGGTTAATTAATTAAGATGTTAATGAAAGGTATATGAACAGACTTATTAAACAATAAAATATTTTCCACGTTTTAGCTTCCGAAATTAGGGTTCGAAATCTGTAGTTTTTCTTGTTTTTCTTTGTTGTTTGTCATTATATTATTTTTTGTAGGTTGAAGTCAGTTTGTACTTTTTATGATAAGTTCTTTTTTCTTCATAAAACAGATTTTTTGTAAATACACATTAGTAAATACACATAATCCAGAATATGAATTTTAGGAATTTTTGATGTAAATCTATATAAATAAATGGTAGATGTTTGCAGTTGTCCGAACATCACGGAAAAACTACTGGATAGATTTCAATTAGGTTTTCTAAGTTTTATTTTTTAGACACATGGCCCATATCTAAAAAAAATAATATTGCGATATCATCATTTGATATAAATTTATTATAGTTTTAAGAAACAACGATTTTTATAAGCACTACGTGTTCAGTGATGTGTATAAGCAACGCGGACAAAGTCGCGGGTATCAGCTAGTGTTTAATTAAAATTAATTAGAAATTTCATCAGAGGCACTCATAGTGAGGTACTATAAGCTATTTCTATATCAGATGAATAATGGATATGGAAAAAATATTTGATGGATATTTCTTTTTTTCTATAATATACATCTTGCAGCAGCTTTGAACTTGCAGTCATATTATTTGTTACTTGAGTATGTTTGGTTACGTGCCAAAATTTTATGTAAGAAATTTGTCTCATCTTCTTTTTTTTCTTTTTTTTTTAATTATTAATTATAAAGTATCTGAACCAAACTTCTTGTACATATTTCACAAATGACTCTAATTTATTTTTTTATGTTAAAAGTATATTAACGACATGAGATTTCAGAACCCCCTCCAAAACGTTTTTTTTTCGTCTTAAAAAAGTTATAAATGAATTATAAAAGATTTAGCTCACCTTCAACAGGAAATATTATCTTCTGTTCCGTTCTGCCGTAGTAATCATCAAATTCCGGTGGTTTATCCGAACCCGCACTCAGGGTCTGGCCTAGCGCGACGGGCATCGGCAAGCTGTTGACCGGCACCGCCACTGTCGGCTTCCTGTTCAGCCTCAACTTCTTCAGGATCTGCTGCTTCACGTACTCTATCCTCGCGTTCGTCAGCTCGGTGACACTCAGGTCCCCGTTCGCGCAGTTCGCACACGCGCCCATAACCTCCCATTCGAAACTTAATAAGTTTGTTGTGGTGACTAGAATGAAAAACACAAGCACTCGCGGATGCATTGCCGTAGATTTCTTCGGCGTAAACAATTGAAATACGCTAGGAGATCGAGACGCATACGTGCGGTGACAGCGGCGGTCGGCACGCGACTGTCATATGCGATCACCCTCGGTCCCTAATATAGCTGCGTGTGCGCATCTTTAGCTTTTTTCTCACTCTTATAGGGGGTGTTCCGTGAGCTCTCATATCGACATTCTCAGCCTTATCTTCGAGGTCAAAGATACTATGCACAGTTGAACAATGGACCGCGATAGGCAATAATCTATAAACTGTGTTGACAGTTCTGTTTATTTTCACTGGTTTAATTAGATCAGTGTCTTGAATTTTCTCTCTTCAATTCGGGGTCGTTCCCCGTTCGCTAATCAACAACGGGTCGTTAGTCTTAGAATATGTGACCTTGTGTTCATATAGATGTGTTCTGTAGATGCACCTGACTGCTCATACGACCTATTTGTATTGTTATTGACTTTACTTACATAGAAATCTATTTTTTTGTTTAATTTTCCTCTTGTCGTTTGCATAAATAAACGCATTGTCCAAAATCTGTCATCCATTACGCGTTTTAAATCTTAAAGGTTAACTCGAATAGTGTCCATACAAGTGCGTTAAGTCTTATCGGACTGTCGTCGTAACAATTATAAAGAACAATACAATGGAATCCGGGGTCAAAGTCTATAGTGAAGTCCCATGCCGGGTGCGTGATAAGATGCGCTGTTGCGCATTGGTCATTGGAAATAAGGGTTTTGTTATGCGTTTAACACACGTCTATGCACCGACACGTCTTAAGCGGACTATATTTAATTTGTAACGCAAAGTACGCTCGCATCGGATTTTGCAAGGAAATTCAATTGTTTCTTTATTAATGAATGCAATTCTAGTTACTTATTCTATTTATATCATGTATAAAGTTATAAAGTATAAGTAAAACGACGGGTAATCTACGACTGTTACGTAAAATCGTTGTCATATCAGCGTATTATACATACCTACCATTAATTATCGAAAATCGAAAGAACTAAAACTATAAGATCTTTAAAATGTTGATGTGTAATTCCGTCAATATCGCTTAGCTTGCTACATATTTATTTATCTATGATATCGCTAGCAGAGTCATTCGAAAATGACATAATTGCTTCTAAAGCACCTTTTTCAGAAAGAACATCGGCCAAATACGTCCTGACCAAAATATGAAACGACCACCAATGATTGATACGTCAAAAAATAATGACTTAGGTGTATATTAAATTACGGGGTCCAACATATTTTATTGGAGCCGGTAAAATAATTCAGCTTTGTAATGAAAAACCTCATTTCCTTACTACTTTTTATAGATTTTGAACGCATCTAAACCCGTCCCATTTTTATCTGTGGCACACGTTTCATCATAACACTAAATTAACACTACCATATGCGTTTACTTTTTTTAAATACTAGATTTTATTCTAGATTTTTTATTTATTTTTGTAGTGTATTATTAATAATATCATTTTTATGGGGATATGGTAAGTATTTCGAAATAAGTTGCAAATTATAAATTGTCAGTAAATATAGAATGTACTAATACTTAGAACGGAACATATTATGAGTGTCTCTATGCAGTCTGTGGTATTATGACACGGGAGCTGTCAAAGTGTGAGCAAAAGTCAAGGCACCTGTGTCTTAGATACTTAGCAGTGAAAAGATTAGAAAGGTTATTGATTAATATTTGTGATTTTAGCCATTGACTTGACTTATTTAGATAAGTACATATTACTGCATAGTTTTCATATCAATTGTTTTAGCAGAGGTTGTAGTCATAGTTGCAGTCATGGCTACATCATAACCTCAAAATTGACGAAAAACATAAGTGTAACGTTCTATGATCCTCGGCTTTTAAATAATATATTTTCAATTTAGGATTAAGATTGTGCCCAGGGGGAACGGTATAATCCATACACTAGTCATGTTCGCGATATTTTATAGCCAGGTCACAGCATGTATGGGCAGTGACCGATGTTCTTTGCAAAGGTTGCATAGAAGTCTTGGGAGGCAGCGGTAAACTTTGAGAAGAATTGACTGAAGGATGCTTTTGACGAAGGCTGTCGTTAGGATGTCGAGCCAGGATGTCGTCTGAGAATAAAATACGGGATGCATTTTTAAGTCGCCATTTCCGACTCAACTACTTTTTTTAAGGGTGAGGTGAGATAAATGATTGTTAATTGGGTAATCTAAATTTTGAAAAGATGTTTCTTTTAGTTGAGACGTAATTCATTTATTTATTGTTTTATCAAAATGAAAATGGGTATACACGAAAGTAAATAATTTTTGCCAACTCTTTTCATTATTAGTGAAACAATTTTGAATAGTGCATGACAATGCTTTAGCAAGCTGCATCCTCGCACCTCTAGGAATTCTTTTAACTTTTTTCCGAAAAAACTCTAACTTTGCTCCGAAAAAAGGGAAACCTTTGTGTCATTAGAGGAATTACTAATAGAGTTAAAAATTTCTACGATAGGCTGTTAAGCCGAAATCCTTTTATTATAACATCGTATATTTAATCCCCTTTTACTTTTAAACAGCTACCGTCGGTACTATTTTGACACTAGGAAATCCGGCTGTGAATGTAGCGGAGCGGAGATATTCATTAAAAAATCTAAACAGATCTCTACAGCACTCAAAAGTCTTTATATTACATAGCTTTATATTAACTTGAAACGTGCTGTACCCCGTATCTTTCCCTGGGTTTATTCCATATTGATAAAAATTGTATGTACTATTCGTTATGCTTTGACAGTTGACAATGGCGCAGCAGAAATATTTTTCTTTATAAATGAATATTATGTCTGAAATCAAAAAATAATTATTATAATAACTGTCATATATATTTACTGATCTTTTTGTTGAATTTTGTAAGCTAAAATTGGCCTATAAATAACAAAATAAAATAAGTTAAATATATGTGTACGTAGCTTTTGACAGTTGAAAAAAAACTGTTCTTAAACAATATCAACCTTATACTACTCATCAAAATACTTAATAAAAAACGATAAATATTTGATGCTTTTAAATCAAAATGGAAATAGTATTTTTTATACATATTTTTGTATATATTTTAGAAGGGGGTTTTAATACAAAAATTACCCATTACTGACCTAGATTCAGCTAAATGAAAAGAACTACTTAGTGCTTTTGGAGAAATAAATGGAGATGTAATATTGATTGGAAAGCGTTCTTACTGGCAGAATGATATTAATGCAATTCTAAATTTCAAAATTTTCATATGCAAAATATTGTCGTCCAACTTTGTATGTATTGAGAAAGGTTATAATAATATGAGCTCTGACCATTTACCTATCTTATTAACATTAAGTGATACTGCAATTAAAAAAGGAGAAAAGTCTACTTTAGAGAACAAAAACACTGACTGGAAAAGTGTTCAAATTGACCTGAAAAATGTGACAGACTTAATTATTCCACTACAAAATTCAGAGCAACTAGATATTGTAATACATAATTTAAAATTAAAAATTTTGTACAACCGACTTGAATATAAATTATTAAGAATAACTCAAAAATTGTTGGTCAGACCTTGATCAATTTATGTAGGACCACACGTGAAGCACCAGATTTCAAATAAAAAAAGAATCATCGAAATCGGTTCACCCAGTGAAAAGTTATGAGGTAACACACATAAATAAAACATACATTCGAATTGAATACCGGCTCCATTTTGAAGTCGGTAGAAAATTTAATAAAATAGGTATATTCAAGCATGAGGAATGAAACTAATTTTTATTATTAATACGATTATTTATATTATTAGGGTTATTTTATCCGCGACGGATGATCCCGAACATGTTGACATACTTACCAAGCATACTATTTCACAACTTCAAGATACTGTATGCTCGTTCTGCGTAGATCATACTAAAAATTAATATTCTATATTATAGTTGAAGAAAAATTTAAGAAATCTTTATTTTCAATAACGGACCTTGGAATATATATATATATACGTGGTAGAGCCATACTGCAGCTATATTAGTAGTATAGTTGTAGCACGAATGGGTCGGCTCGACCGGGGAAAGACCACGCTCTCACTGAATACCAGCGTAAAATAGCAGCTTGATACTGGTATGTTTCGTATAACACTGCTGTGTTGAGACCCTTTTTACTGGAAAAGAGGCATTCCATCTTAGTCCTCACGGGTGACAACGCATCTGCGTTTTGATTCGCAAACGAGGATAGATGTAGATGTCTATGGGTCACAGCAACCACTTACCATCAGGTGGACTGAGTGCTCGTTTGTCACCCTATCCTATAAAAAAAACACAGTCATCATAACAACAACAGGGAACACTTATCTTCAAATAATACATCTTTTGATTGCCGAAAAGTGAAAGCTTTTTTTTTATAGAATAATGGTAACAAACGAGCACACAGTCCACCTGATGGTAAGTTAATGCTGTGGCCCATAGACATCTACATTTATCCTCAATTAAGAATCAAAATTCAAATACGTTGTCGCCCCTGAGGACTAAAAGGGTATGCCTTGTTTTCAGTAAACATGTCTCCGGTTCTCTACACTCACTGTACGAAACACGCTGGTATTCTGTGAAAGCGTGGCTCCGTCCTCGATCGAACTGACCCATCTGTGCTGCTGCCACCATAATATAGCTGCAGTGTGGTTAATATCCATCAACTGCTTATTTTACACAAATGGTAATAACTCATAACTTTAGGAAATTTTTATGGTCTAAATAGTTATAAGACAATTTTATATTAATACAGCATTTGTGGATGCTATCAAGAAAACTAAAGAGAGGTTTTCTTAATTTCCCTATTAGCGTCAATTTCAATTTTCAAGGCTTAAAATATCTGAAATGTATAATAAATAAATAAAAAAAAGATGTTTATTCGAGTGCGTGTCAAGAAGTTGAGGATGGTTTTAACTTAAACACTTAAAATGAACGCAGCGCTCCATCTTTCTTCCTTCGTTGGTCTGAGCAAGTATCAAGTTTAG